ATGTGTGCATGTGTATATGTATGTATGTGTATATATATATATATATGTTTATACATATCGTTATTTATATACCAGGAGTTGAAGTTGCAGGGGGTTGCCGTCGTCTGCAGTGCCAGGTGTCGAATTTGCAAGACTTATCTTGGGATTCGTGGAGACCTCAGAGTAACAGGAGAGACACTTGCCCATTAAGTCTCCTCTACACCTCCTCCCGGTGCCTCTTCCGAACCCAGGGTTGGAGTTGGAGTGATACTACCAGTACAAGCGTGAGAATATTGTCGTAGGGCCATGGTGCTGCTAATGCTCAAGATTGCAGTGCTCAGAGCGACTCAGAATGAACATCTGGGACGTTCCAAGTGCTGCCCCGGGTGCGGAGATACCCAAAGCCCAAACTGCAGGGTGGGTCTCAGGTGATATGCCGCAAGGTCAGTACTGCCCAGTTGCGTGGCTTTTGGATCGAACATGCCCTGGTTTGCCTATATCGGAAATGTGACCACAATCCCGTTTCCACAGCGAAAGCCTGCAGGACAATCCCCAGATCAGCTCGGTGGCATCATGTGAAGCACGGACTCGTTCATGACACCGACCAACTCGAAGAAACCGTGCTTGCGCAAGCATCCTCGCAACAGCCCACGGGCACGGATTGAGCAAGCATCGAATACCTGCAGTTAGACTTGAGTACCAACACAAAGCACAGAAACAATCATCTTCCTGAATGAACACGAACGAAGATTCATGCCGTCAGGTCATCCGTCATGACCAACATCTTCGATCTCCAGTCAATCGTTTGCTTGTGTTCATTACCGTCGTGGCTATCACCATCTGCTGCGATCGCCCTCGCTGTCACTTTCATCATCAACATCAAATCAGCAGCAGCTACCGCCGTTGCAAAGGCGAACCAACAGTGGTCATCGTAGCAAGGAGCTGGAAGTATTCATATCAGCCGCTATCGGCAGCTCCTCCTCCTCCTCCCCCTCCTCCTCCTCCTCCTCCCGCTACCACTACCACCACTACCACTACTGGTACTGCTGCTACCTCTGCTGCTACTACGACTACTATTACTACTACTACTACTACTACTACTACTACTAGCCACCCCCCCCTCCTACCAACCACCTGGCGCCTCAATCCACCACCATCATCGGTCATCATCATCCATCATCATC